AAGATAATGCAAAAGATTGGAATGCAACATCTTAATCGTGATCTTTATCAGGGGGAGTAAAATACGTGTTGCACTCTTTTTTCCTTAATCTAGGTTTTGTCCCAATGAATTTTCCTAGAAAATTTTTTAATGAGACAATACGTAAAACATATTGTGAACATCTATGTATATTTATTTTCAACTTTTCATTTACATAGACATACGAGGAAGAGTGTTGTATAATAATGGTCACTGTCACATGTTGCAAGGCAAATATACCATTGCCACATGTAAGTCACTTGTAAGACAAATATATATGGCATGTGGACACCATCAACACTTGACAAAGTGCGGTCAAGTTTCACCTTTTCAATTACTACTATAAATCGGTAGCACGTTTATAAATATCAATAAGAGAAAAGTTTGGCATACATCATTATACTATCTCTTTATTTGTTCTTATTTTAGTTTATTATTATTCATTTGTTAGATATTTATTTTGTAACATTATTTTATTATTCTTTCGTGTAAAATATTTAGTTATTTAATATCAATATTATTTTATGATAATATATACTCTCTAACTTGGCATATGGAGAGAAACTAACATATATAAAGTGAGTTACGTATGTGAAGATCATGAATTTCAAATAACTCAAGTTATTAAAGATAAATTAATTAAAAAGAAAAACACATTACAGAATGAGTTATTAAAGATAAATTAATTAAAAAGAAAAACACATTACAGAATATGATTAGAGAGAGTATGTTTTTGTTTAATGAAAAATTATGTGGTTAAGTAAATTTATATTATTTAATTATTTATTATAGGTATAGTTTGTTATAATTATCAATTGTGATTAACATTAACCATTAATTATGTTGGCTGACCTCGAGTTTGTATAATTAACCACGTTTGTATATGTATAATTCACAACGAACAATTCATTGTTTGATTTGTATTTGTATATGATGGTTTGTATTTGCATATGACGATGATTTCCTTTAGTTTTTCAGTTTTGTTATCATATATATTCGGTCTTTATGCATAACTTTTTAAAGTTTGTATAAATGTGTAGCTTTCAGACTTTGAATAATATATTTTGTATAATTGATTAAAGTTCATGTTATGTTTGTATCAAATTGTTATTTCGAGTTTAATCATATTTGTATAATTCCAGACTTTATATTACTCAACTGAAACCTCTTAAAGATTGAAAGGAAAAAAGATATTATAAAGACAGTGACAGATTTAGCCGTTTTTAATTAATTAAATATAAAAAGAAACTGACAAATAATCCTCCATTCTTAAAACATTTCAAGTCTCAATTTTGTGAGACACTTCTCTTTATAATCAGTTCTCAAAACAAAACTATTTTTTACTATAAATTTCAAAAGTTATTTTTCATTCTTATAATCTTGATCAAGTCAAAAATTATTTTCAATAAATCCTCGAGAATAATTATTCATAGAAGAAAAACAAATAACAACCAAATATCATGATACTAAACAAAAGTAAAGCAACAATAACAAAAAAGACATAATGAAGGATAAAAAATCACATAATTACATTGATGTTGAGTTAAACACCTTCATATAAATTAAAACAATACTCTTTTTAATGTTGTTACTAAATTACTAGTTAATATTTATCATAGTAATTGTTAGTGTAACATATATACCACAAATATAATAAATTATAATTAATCTATAATATGAAAATAAAAAATGAACAAATAAATTTTTATGCTGAAGCGTGAATATCTCGCTCTCTTTAAGGAGGTTCAAGCCTATTATGGTATAATTTACACCAATCGGCAACATCACTCTTGACTTGTACCTACGGAATACAATAACCCAACAACATCGTACAACTCAAGCAACTCCAGATTAATTGAAGAGTTACATAAGAACACCTTCCTTCAACATATAACTACTCTTTTTTGTAATTTGTCAATATAGCTGAAAACTTAAAATATTTTCTTTAGCTTCCACTCTCTCTCACCACTACACGCTATATTATTATTTGACATTTCTCATCTTTATGAGCATATATTTCTCAAAGAAAGAAACACCAAAATTTTTAGGTGAAGAAGTCTTTCATATAATCAATAGGTAGAATGAGAGATTGTAATGTGATAGATATTACATGAGTTACATGAAACTAATGATCATAGGAGTTTGAAAAAATAATAATCATGAAACTTACGAGAACTAATGGTCATATAAGTTATAAGAACCAATATTCGTCTTCTGTCATAATTTTTTAGAGTTCGGAGCTTAAAGGGTACAAAATATTAATAAAATTTTCCAAAATGGTATATAAAATTTTATATTAACCAATAGCAAAATCGCTGCATCAACAGCGATTTACTCCACAGGAAAAAGCAAAATCGCTGCCTCTGCAGCGATTTTGCAAAATGTGATTTTTTTAAAAAAAAAATGAAATCGCTACCTAGGCAGCGATTTTAAAAATATTTAATTTTTTTTAAAAAAAATTATAAATCGCTACCTAGGCAGCGAATCTTTTTTTAAAAAAAAATTAATAAAATTTTTAAATCGTTGCCTACACATTGATTTTATAAAAAAAAAGAATTTGTTTTTTTTCAAATATGAAAATCGCTGCTGATTTTAAAAAGAATATAATTTAAAGCAGTGATTTTATTAAAAAAAACATTTATAATAATTTTTGAAATTCAAATATATAGCTTATAAGAACAAATATATTATTTTTAAAAAATTAAGAATAAGTAACGTAACATCTTTTTTTAGAAAGAAAATATTTTGTTACCTTACTTATTCTTAATTTTAAACATATTAAATATTTACCTTACTTAAATATTTTTAAAAAAATTATATAAAAATTTTAAATCACTGCATAGGCAGCGATCTCCTTATTTTTTTAAAAATAAAAAAATTATAAATCGCTGCCTAGACTGCGATTTTTTTTTAAAAAAATTAAAATCGCTGCCTGGGTAGGGATTTCATTTTTTTAAAAAAAAAAGAATCACATTTTGCAAAACCGCTGCAGAGGCAGCGATTTTACTTTTTCCGGTGGAGTAAATCGTTGTTGATGCAGCGATTTTGCCATTTTGGTTAATATAAAATTTTATATACTGTTTTGAAATTTTTGTTAATATTTTGTACCTTTAGGCTCTGGACTCTAATTTTTTATACCCACTAACATATACATTTAATATTTTATTTTAATAAGAAAATGTATATACATAGTGGCGGAGCCACATGTAGTTGAGGTGTGTCGATCGACACCCCTTCATCAGAAAATTATATTATGTAGCTTGAGTAAAAATATTTTTTGGTTATGTATATAGGTTACATATTGACACTCATTGTACTATAACAAAATAACTTTTAGCGGCATTAAATATTGACATTAATATAGAGTGCTATAGTATTTACCGGCACTAGTTAAGTGTCATTAGAACCAATATCGCTAAAGGCTTTAGGGACATATATAAAGAGTGACAATTGCCGCTAAAAGTATATATTTAGCGGCAATAAAAATTAAATGCCGCTAATAATCATTTTTGTTATAGTGTTGACTTCTGCGCAATTTTATTTTTTCGTACTTTGACACTCCTTAATTGAAATTTTGACTCCGCCAATATGCATACACTAACAATAATAAATTTAACTGTCACCATATAATAATAATAATAATAAAAAGTGATCTAATTATATAAATATTTTTGATACTCTAAAAGCATATAAGTTAAACTAAAAATGAAATTATATGACCAACTAATCCCCTAGAACTTGGTCAATGGAGTTCTAGATCCATTATAAAGCTCGTAGGTATATGAGGTGCCCCTCTTTTTGTTATTCATGAAGTCAAAGTTATTCATCTGCTCACCCACACCACGTTATGCAATTATTCCACAAGCATGTTAAATCAAAAAAATACTCTTAACTTTTTCTAGCAGAAATCAATTGACAATATTAACCCTACAAGAAAGTAGGACTACTTTTTTTATTTTCGAAATAATTTTTTCCTTAATCAAAAGTGTGGAATTTAGTTCCTCTTTTTATATTTCAAAATATTTTTTTTATTTTTATACAAATAAAATTACAACTTATAATATTTTTATATAATGTTAGTTAAATAGTATATAGGTATAGAATATATACAAATCTGAAAATATGTAGTTGGTCAATGAGTTCTAGAACTTCATGAGGAACATGTGTCCCTCATTGTGGAAATCTTGGAAGTCAAAAGTCTTTGTAGAAATAAAGGAATACCTTTTTATTCCTAGAATAAATCAAGAATTTATGTAAATAATTATCATGTTTAATTTAATTTGATTATCTTCTTAATAACTTTTAAATTATAACTATTTATCTGACATGTTTGAGTTACACAATTAAAAATATTTTAATATATTTTACGTGTCTTTTAGTCTAAAACTTTAAAAAAGAATATATAAAAAATTATTTTATTTGAATATTGTAAAAAATTAAAATTAAACAATTAAATTGAAGAGGAGAAATATAGAGTGAGTTGTTGTAGCTGTACGAGATTATTAAGCACTATTGTCTGTAACAACCTAACCCACTGTATATGATATGATACTATATAATATGTAGCTTGTTGTCTTTCAATGTGAGACTCATTATAATACTTTGGCCATAAAGAGAGTGTGTATACTAAAATATGAACATTAAAACAATAGTGGAAGACACATTATGAGTCATGAGAGCACTTTTGCAAAAGTAGAATCATCTTTTTGGAGTTCGATTTTTTTTTACTTTTAAAATATTTGACGATTAGGTGCGTAAAATACAGGTTCTAAGAAGTTATATTTGATAATTACTAATATTACCTCACAAAATAATATTTCATTTATCTCAGTTTACGTGACATCATTTAACTTACATAAAAAATTTTAAAAAATTACTTTAGACATTTATGTGATGGTAGATCATTAATAGGTGAATTTTAAAGTTAGAGTTATTTTAATTATATATATATATAAAAAAGTGACGATGGCTTACAAAAAAAGAAGTAGAAATTTGTCGCATGATCACGAAAACTCAACATTGCTATCAAATTACAGGAACATTAGAATGTGAAAACGAAAAAAAGAAGGTACATATGAGAAGAAAAAAAAAGACGAATCAAAATAAAATTAGCAAAATATAATCTTAACTCAATAATGTAAAACTACGACATTATATTCAACAATAGCATCACCATTCTTACTTAAAGTATGTGTTTTTGCGGTTGCAACACCACGAGCTAGCCTGAAAACACCAGAACCACCAACAATAGGCATCTCACGATATTCATTCAAAACAGTGTTACGTCCAAGTAGACTAAGTGTACTACCATTATATTTCCCATGAGTAAACACAAAATTCAAACTCATCAACAAACTAAATTCTTCAAGAGAAGCTGCACCTACAATTCCTTGAGCTCGACCAATAGTCGTTGAATTATTTTCTGGTCCCGTTGTTAATCGATCGTCTAATATTGCTAGCGTCCCAAACGCCGTAGGCGAATGAGACGTAGAATTAGCCTGGGCAATTGGTATTGACGTTGGATTTTTACCAGCAACTATATCGTGAAAATAGAAATGAAGTTTGGTTATTTTTGGTTTTGAATGGGAAACTTTTTGGAACCAATTTTCAACTGCTTTAGGACCTTGTGCAATGTTACAATGAGCTAACGGAATTGATGATAATATGACAATAGCAATAGAGCAATACAATATAATTGTGTTTAGCTTTGCCATGTTTTTTATTTCTTCAAAATTAATGTATGGTGAGTAAATATTTATAGAAAGAGGGAAGGGTTACTTTATAAGAAAAAGAATAATTTGATAATATAGGTGGGAGTCGTTGGACGCCAATGTTGATTATTTTATTCATACCATACTTTCCTTGAAACCAACTTCATCATCCTAATAAACAAATGTTCTTTTTTTCAAAAAGAAAATGCTAGTTTATATTTTGTGTTAAGAAAATATTTTTTTGGTAAGCAAACAATATATTTTGGAAAAACATCTATTACTGAATGGTTTATGATAAATCTAGGAAAATCAAATTATATTTTGGCAACATTTTAGAGTATAAAGAATTGATAATCATGTCCAAGTGTTTGAGTACATTAATTAACAAAAGAAAAATAATATCCACACCTAAAAATAGTGCAAAGTTTAATATTGCGTAAAGGATGTTTAAGACTTAAAATATATACATAAAAATATATATTTAACTTATATAATTTTCTATCGACATAATAATATGTACAATTTTTCGATAAATAATATTCAATTGGCCTTACACACATGGCTATTTTAGGAGACTTTGACAGTACAATCAATTTGCAAAAAAATTCTACCGTACTAAACACGCATTATAAAGAGACTTCATGATTTCCACAGACCACACAGGTCACCACCTGTACCTCGTGGTGTTTAAGTTTGTTTCTAGAACTCCTTGATTAATTTATTATTACAAAATTAATTTTTTGACATAAAAATTTGAATTCAATTTGATGAGGACTTGGATAATTTAATAGATGATAAATCCATTGATCAATTTCTTGTAAAGAGTGGATTAAATAATTTCTCGATGTATTTTACCATCTACTGACTAGCCAGTACAAAATATAATTGAGATTATTTTAACCGTCAACATATATTTCTTAGAAAAGATATTATCTACATCTTAGTTATCAATAGCTTGATTTTGCTTAAGGACCAAGATTTAACTTATTTAATCTGGATAATTCGACTCAATCAAATATATTAATGGAGAAAGCTTTATAACGTTAGTGCGTCTATATATGTATATAATTTATTTTGTTCTCTTTTAACTTACGATTAATGATATTTAGGGCTTGTTTGTATAGGCTTATAAAGAGTAACTTATGTCTCAAAGTTAAAAGTTATAAGTAGATGGTATCGTAATTTTGACTTATTTTTTAAAAAAATTGGCCTAAAAATGGATATTAAAAACACTTTATAACCCTTTCTAACGCCTCAAAAAAAATACTACTTCTGATATTTTTAATTCTCATGGTTTCTTTTTTAGGTTAAACTATAAGAATTTTGACTAACATTTTACGATGTAGTTTTATCATATTAATATGAAAAAAAATTGCAATGCGTAGCACTTTGCGTATAGTTTTTTAATATATCTAAATTTTTTGTTTAAATCAAATTAATGTAATCTAATTTAATTTTAAAACACGCAATATTTAAGAGAAATACTTAAAATAAAAAACACTTAAAATAAATTAATCCAAACAAACACTTAAAAAAAAAACCATTAAAAGTAATTGTACCAGCATTTGGAGTGTCCATATTTGACTTCCAAAACAGCTAACAGAAAAGTTATACGAGTTTAGATGCTCAAGCATGGCAAGACGATTGACTTTTCAAGTCGCTTATAATTTCAATTTTTTAATTTATATCATTTTTATAAGAAATTTTTATTTTTATATACAAAAGATTTGAAAAAAGTCATTTTTTATTGATTTGTAAGTGTTCAAAATATAATAATTTTTCTTTCAAATTCTTTTATAAGTTTTTTTTATATCAAATTACATACCATTATATAAATTAAAGCGGATAGTAATATATTGATTTTAAAAAGCAAGCCTATTTGGAAAACGCTTTGTATGGTCCTTAAACAAGCATTATACAACCAAAATCTCCGGTCGGTCACCTAATTATTGCAAGTCCATCGCATTCCCATGTGAACAACAATTAGTGACTTGACTTCTTTGCTTTCCTTCTACGCAAAGGATAACAATCGACGGTACGTCGAATAAGGTTAAGTTTAACTCATAAAATTTTTAATTCGTTTTGTTTAGCTTTGTTTTGCATACTAATTGTTTTATTTATTTTCAATCCATTTCATTCCGTTTCGTATTGACTTTCCTCACATGGTTCTGTATTGCATAATTTTTATAATATTTAATTTTTCACATGGTTTTGTATTACATAATTTTTATAAAATTTTATTTTCTAATTAAGTTTGATATTAAAAATAAAATTTAGGATAAATTATCTTTATTGATACCCTTTTTTTTATTTCATAATTTCCATTATTGTCTACCGATTCTAAATTTATCCAAAGTCAAACCCCAGACACACAAGATACATAATTCCTATCTCCCAAAACCAACGTTTAACCTTTCCTTATTTCACTCCAAAAAAATTTTCCTAATTTTAATTACACAATTCAATAATCTTCTCATTCACATTTTAAATTTCAAATCAGTCTCTTTCATATGGGTTAAGGATATTTTTAGATAAAAAAAATGTAATAACCCGAAAGGTCATTCATGGGAACATTCCTAAAAATTAGCGTTTTACCCCTCATGTTAGTTGTCCCAAGTAAATTTTTATTAGTTCATGAAATTGATTTGAAAATTTTAAAATAGTCGATAACTACGATTTTTTTTTGATGGGTATATATTAAATAATTTATTTATTTAGTTGGTGGTTAATAGGCCAAGTCCGTATATAATATAATTTAAGTTAATACCCTAAATTATTTTAGATCATTCTTTTAAATTTTAAAAAAATAAGAGAAATCTCCAAAAGAATACGACTAACCTCGGCAGTCGGCAGAAGCAAAGGTGACGAAACTCCCACCGGTAAACATTATTGTACCTTAATCAGTGTGTTTCGTGTATTTCAAAAATGTCATGGTATCATTATTATTATTATTATTATTATTATTATTATTATTATTATTATTATTATTATTGATTTTGTAATAGAAAAAAAAACCAGGAAATGGGTTTGGATAAATTAAAAAAAAAGAAGAAGAAGTGGAAGTTGAAATATTGTGCCACGTTATTGAAATTAGAGAAATATGGGTTTAAAAATTTATTGATCACTATATGATACCATTGGTTATCTATTCTTATTTTTGTCTCTAGAAATTGTTGGTGTTTCCTTTGGCAGAATGCCAAGATTTTCAGTTGAATTTTTGATGCGGCGTTAATGGCCATATACGAATAATTATTGAATAATTATTGTGATTTATAATTGAGAAAACTGAAGTGATCAAAAGGGGCGCGTGGATATAATTTCTGCATAGTTGATACTATTTTGGTGGGTTGTGTCCATCTTAGAAATATTTTTATAGGTATGATTTAGTTCTCAATTTTAAGATATTAGGTTAACATAATTAAATATGGAGTGTATTATATTATGTGAAAATTAATTGTTTTATACTGTTTGGAAAAAAAATTATGACTTAACTCTTGACTTGAAATTTAAGAAATATGAGATTCGACTTATTGGTTAGAATCAAGATTTAGAAACTTTATTATAAATTTAGATAAATTGTTGGGTCAAAGTTACAAATAGTAATATGAGTGTTCTAAGTTTTGAAGTCTTATTGTGGTTATTGATTTGAATAAATTGTATTGATTTGAAAGTACAACGAAGGAGGAAGGCTAAACTCTGAAGTGATTGTTCGATAAACTGAGGCAAGTGAATTTCTAAACTCTTGTTAAGTGTATGGAATGCGTGTATTTCCTTGTGGTATATGTGGTATATGTTTGGGAGTAATGAGACTTGGTGATGGGTTTGACTTGTCCACATTGAATAATTCTAATGATGAAGACAAAGGGTGATAAAAGGCAATGTGAATAATTGCTTGTGTGTGATGTGTTGATAGTAAAGAATGATTTGAAGAGTTTGTTGAATCATTGTTGATGTTGTTGTGAATTGTGCAGTGTTGTGAAAATGGTCATATCCTCATTATTTGTGTGAACATGTCATTTGCATTATTCTGAGACATGGTTGTGAAAGTGTTATGTGCCTTGAGAAAGAATGAGAACTTAAAGAGGATGTACCATTTCGACGGACGTATCGCGCGCCGCGATGGATACTGTATTTCGAGGGACGTATCGCGCGTCGCGATGCTTACTATTATCGAGGGTCGTGTCGTGCGCCGCGACAGATGCATGGACAGATATGTCCCCCATGGATCCCGGACTGAGAGACAACGAGTGTGTATCACTAGGTCAGACATGCATCATTATACTTGACATTGCATTACACATACTTATCATTGGTGAACTTGATATTGTGTTTTGCTGATCTTGTGATTGCCTTTCTGTGGAATTTGTGATTGATAATACTGAGCTTGTTATTGCGGATATGTAATTTGATAAAGTGTGGTTGTGGAGGATATACATGTAATTTGTATAAGTGTTGTTGTAGAGTTACGTGCTATATAAAATATGAACTGTTAGGTTAGACTGAATTTTATGTAGGTTGTAGTTGTGGAGGTTCGGTTGGGGAGGTAGGGGTACCCGTATTTCATCCCCTTAGCTTGTGTTTAGACGTTTACTTGCTGAGTACCGTGTGGTTTGGTACTCACCCCTTGCTTCTACAAATTTTTGTAGGTTATGA